AGTGTACTATATATTAGTTCGTTAATGTTTTTTTTTTTGTGTTTAATATTTTGCATTTTTAGGGGAATTTTATAGTATTGTATGGTCTATTTTTTAAAGAAGAAACTTGGCAGATTATTGTTGAAGTGAAAAAAAAGTTATACAATTGTAAGTATATTATTATGAAAAATGCACATTTTTTAAATGTTATATTAAATATCTATTTTCCAAAATATGGTTTAATCTAAAACTGTGTGAAAATCAAAAACACAATACAAAAACAACATGTGTTCCAAATTTGAGGTTGATATCTTAAAAATGAGCTTGAATGTGCAGTGAACATTTCCACTAGATCAAATTCACTTCCCATTCATTTCCAGTGCAAGTATGACTATTTGTTTTTCAGACGTGTTTAACCTTTTTGAATCATGTCAATGTTTTTTTTGTTTGTTTTTTTTGCGTGTGTTCACATATCAAGTGCCAAAACCCTTGCAGAGTTTTGTACCTTTTCAATGCAAAAAATTCTAAAAAAGCAAAACGTAACGGTCAACCGAACAAAACCAGGGGGTTATTTAAAGGTGACTCAAGCCTTAAAATGAAAAAAAACCTAAATAAAAGTATCATAAAAGTAATAAACTCTGTGCTATATTCCGATGAGCAGACCAAAATATAAGAAATAGCTAGTTAAGGTTAAGTCTGTTTTGTGAATGAATTTATAGTACATTAGAATACTTTTGGAGGCTTATAGTCAATATTTTGTAAAGTGTTTAGGTGGACATCCCTTTGTGAAAAGAAAGTTTGATATGGCTCAAGTGTGAGTAAATGATGACAGAACTTTAATTTTGTGGTCAAATGGTTCTGCTAAATATTTAAAAACAACTTGCGTTCTGATGCATTCTTTTGTGCTTGTAGCTAGTTTTTAATGCAAGAATGCATTTGTGTGAACGCCTGTTAAACCTTGCGAACGGAAATGTAACGTCCCATTTGGCAATGTCATTCTTATGTGGTTAAGTCTGATATTTCGATAATCGATACTTCAGACACTGTGCTCTCAGGTGGCTGCATGTTATTTTTCCCATGACATGCAGTCAGCCAATCAGATGAGAGTATGTGTGTGTCTGCGTGGCTGCAATCCTCTCAACAAACTCCGTATCACAGACTGGAAGAGAGGTGTGTGTTTGCTACCACATTCCCTGGAAGTCATTTTACTAGGCATTTTGCTAACGCCATGTGTGAAACCGAATTTACATGCAATAATAGAGTGCATGTAAAGGCCATCATGACAGATTATCAGGACCTTCTGCTTACCATCAAGAGTTTGCAGTACTCCAGACTGAGCTACATAGAGCTTCTTCAAGAGGAGGTGAAGAGAAACCAAGATGTGAGTTATCTGCTGATGGCTCATTCAACTCAAGCCTGGCAACGTCATATTCATAAGATTAGTAACTGTGCTTTGGGATTTCTGTGTTTGACGAGTTGTAGAGGTTAGAAAGAGACTACAGGAAGAAAGATAGAAATATACAAGTAATATTTATAAGTCATGTTTGAAAATGTTACATTTATATAAAAAAAAATGTTAGATCTAGGGCTACTTTGATAATCAAAACAATGTTGATTATTATTGGATAAAAAGTGAGATTTTAAGCACAAAAAGAAAGAAAAGAAAACATGTTATTCCACATCTGTGTAGGGTTCTCCTTCGAATGTGTAAACATAAAATGAAACAAATAATGTACTATAACATATAAATACACTTCAGATCAAAAGTTTGGAATAATTAAGAGTAATTAAGATTTTAAAATTTCTTTGAAAGAAATCTTTTATACTCACTTATGCTACATTTATTTGATAAAAAAATACAATAAAAACAGTAATATTTGCAAAATATTATTGCAATTTAAAATAACTATTTTTATGTCGTAATAAATTATTAGTAAATTATAATTTATTCCTGTGTTGGCAAAGCTGAATTTTCAGCAGCCATTATTCCAGTCTTGATATATGCTGATTTTGGTGTTCAAGAAACCTTTTTTTTTAATTATTATGTAGAAACTGGTAAGTTTAGGGTAAGATTGATTGATTGATTGATTGATTGATTGATTGATTGCACATAAAAAAAAAAAAATTGATGAAAAGTGACAGTAAATTAATTAATCATTTTTTAAAACAGATTTTAAATGTAACGTTTTAAAGTACAGTAAAACAGAAAACAGTTCTTTTGAATTTAACATTGTTTTACAATATTACTGTTTTAACTATATTGTTGTCAAATGAATGCAGTCTTGGTGAGCATTAGAGACTTCTTTTATAAGCATTCAAATTTCTTAGTTATTCAAAATTTCTGACCGGTAGTTTGTTGATTGGAGAGAGAGAGAGAGAAAAAAAACGAAGGTCCCATATGCAATGTTTTGTCAGGCAGCCTAAAAAAATATGTTTCGCGATTATTTAATAAAAGTCATTTTAAGAGTAAGACAAGGTAGAAGGTACGCTGTAACAACTGCACATTTTCACTTTATCACTTGCATAGAGACCGAGTGAGAAGATCAAATCTGAAGAGGACAGTGACGACTCTTCTAGGCCGGCCACCTCGGCCTATCACATCAGCGCACAGACCGAGCAGTTCACAGCGCCCTACTCCATTCCTCGAACCCTCACAGTGTCTCCGAGTCTGGGTGGGCAACCGCTGTCACCAGAGCTGGTGGTGGTGAGTCGTGGAACATGACCCTGTCACTTGACCCTCTGCTCTCTTGCCTCCCATGTGTCTCATAACAGACTTGCGCTGTGTGTCTATATGTGTGTCCCGAAGACAAAAGACAGGATATTGACTCATCATTTATTTATTAGGACTTTAAGCATTAGATCAAGTTAGTCTCATGTAGTCATAACTACTGCTAATTCCATGGATGCACCACTCGTCTTTTCTTTCAAAAACAATTATGTTAAATATGTTTTTAAAAAATATATAAACCTACATTTCAATGATATTAGCTGGAACTTGGGTGTTGATTTTTATCGTAAATGAATAACTTAATTTTTCCATCACTTGATTTATATACTTATATGTGAGCCTGGAGCACAAAAGCAGTCTTAAGTCGCTGGGGAATATTTGTAGCAATAGCCAAAAATACATTGTGTGGGACAAAATTATCGATTTTTCTTTTATGCCAAAAATCATTAGGATATTAAGTAAAGATCATGTTCCATGAAGATATTTTGTAAATTTCCTACCGTAAAAATATAAAAAATGTATTCTCATTAGTAATATGCATTGCTAAGGACTTCATTTGGACAACTTTAAAGGCAATTTTCTCAATATTTAGATTTTTTTGCACCCTCAGATTCCAGATTTTCAAATAGTTGTATCACGACCAAATATTGTCCTATCCTAACAAACCATACATCAATGGAAAGCTTATTTATTCATAAATCTCAATTTCAGATTGACCCTTATGACTGATTTTGTGGTCCAGGTCACATATATACTTGATTTATTATTATTAGTATTATTTTGAGATTTCATTTAGCTTTGTCTCTCATACAGAGTTTAAGAAATATTTTGTTTGGGAACTCTTTCCATATATTCAACTATGAGTGGAAGAAATCATTCTTCAAGTTTCGGGAGCCTTTCTCTGACATGGCATATGCTCTGGAGACTGAGAGGGTGGTGAGTATGATGAGAGAACTTCTCATATCTGTCATTATAAGTCATTGCTTATTGTCGTAGTTTTGGGTATAAACCCTTGAAACTGATATGATATTGTAACATTTCTTTAAAACATTCGAGTTTGAAAATTCACATTCACATAAATTACTTAATGAAGAGACAAATGTGCACCTTTCTCTTTGATGCATAAGTGAAGGGAATGTGTATATCTAAACAAATGTAAAACAAACACAAAACATCTATGGTTAAAGGCATGTTTGGTGATAAATATGCACTAATATACTGAAAGAAACGGGCAGAGGCAAGGATGTAGGTGTAGGTTGTTTAATGAAGAAAACTGAGGCAAACCATAAACCAAAACATGGGGAAACAAGCAACAAAACACAAGCAGAAACAGCAACCATTACAATCAACAACAGGCAAAGAACAAGGGAAACACAAGGGCTATATATACAGAGCAGAAGCAATGAACTAATTAGTAATCATAGGAACTAACAAGAAGATGGGTGTGGTTCAATGAGTGTCCATAGCAACAAACAAGGAGAACAGAGCAACAATGAAGACACAGACACAGGAAAACACATGGGATTGTGGCACATGCCATGAGGAGGGACAAAAATAGGTGTTGCCACAAATTAAGAACTCATTCCCATGACTTGTTAACTTGTTCAAGTTTATAAAAAAAAAGTAAAATTGTGGCCACATTGTACTATTTTTTCCCCTTTATTTTAATTTATTTAAATCATAGCCAATTGTGGCATGTACAGTGCTCCATACTATTATACATTAAATTAGAATAACTTTAACAACATTCATTTATATAAAATAAAAAAAAGATTACAAAAATCATCTTTGAAATTAATTACACAACTGGTATTATTTGTTTGAGCTTCATCATAGAAACTATGGTGGTTGTGACCTTTTAACTGCTAACAAAGAACAAGGCTAGGAAGGACTGACAACAAAATAAAAACCACATGATGATTTAGAAATGCGTTTTTTCTGAGTCAGTAAACTCTATACTTGGTATTATGAAGGTCAGAATCCTTGTCAGATGTGTCATCATTATGCTTGTGCATTCTGGAATTGAAGGCATAGCTCACTCAAAAATGAACGTTTTGTCATTATTCACTCACCAGTTTCATTTCAGAACCACATGTTATTTCCCATGGAGCATGAAATGACAAACTTTCAAATGACAAAACCACATTCACATCTTGAATTTAAAACTGGTACATCGTAATAATTTTTTTTGGGTGAATTACCTTAAAATGAGTCAATCTGATTTGTTATTGTATTCTTATTTGACGCTTAAACAGATTTAACAGTTCTTAAAATAGCTGCTGTAAGTGGAACTGGAAAAATACTTACTTAAAATACTAGTAAAGCCCAAACTGGAGACGGTTGACCTTATGTGTGATCACGTTAACAAAGTTACTTCCCCTTTGCCAGAACTGCAAGTTAAATAAGTGAAGAAGGATTTTGTTACAAGCTTTAGTAGATCACTTCTCGTACGTCTTTTTCATGGAGAAGCCATGACTTCAGATTGATTAGCCCGACACTATTGTTTGAAATTTGCATAACTACCCGCCACCTCATTATTTCATAATGAGCTTGAAATGTTGGCTGTTTTCTTAACTACAGATCATTGGCACGCTTAAACTAAGGCAGCTAAGTAAATATGCTTCCCATTATCCTCAGGTAGTGAAGTGAGGGGCATGTCATTAGCAGATTACACTGGCATTAGGCTACTATAAGAAAGCACAATTATATTAAGAGCACTCAAAAAACTGATTCAAGGTGAACTTTTTATACCAAATGATTTCCACTCAAATAATAACAACATTTATGTATCTGTCTTGCATGGCTTATGAATAGTTCATAAACTAAACACTCAGTGCTGGATACCATTAAAACTCATACACTACCAAAAAGTTTGGAGTCGGTAAGATTAAAAAAAAAAAAAAGTTTTTAAATGACACTTATGCTCACCAAGGCTGGATTTATTTGATGAAAATACAGTAAAAACAGTAATATTGTGAAATGTTATTACAATTTAAAACAACTGTTCTCTAGTCGAGTCACCTTTACTTATATTGAACTTTATACAATACAGATTGTTTCAAAGCGGATTTACAGTGATAAACAGGAAAATGATTGAGTGATTCAAAAAATTTAATTCTGCTTTAAAGCAGCTCTAGAAAGTCAATAGTAAATAATCATTATTCACTTTGGTTCAATAATTTAGTTCCCTATCTGTCACTCAATGTCAATGTAGTGACACCAGGGGTCGCATTTGGGAGCCCCAAACACCTCTGATACTTTAGAAAGGGCCAATGAGATTTGGCAAGTGGAATTTGCATGTCACTCCCCTGGACATAGAGTCTGAAAAGAGATGGCTTGCTCCACTCATTCAAATTTGTTTTTCGGAGCCAAGAAGATGTGTATGTGATTCTCTCTATTCACCTCTGCCTAGAAACTTTGTTGGATTCCTGTATGGCACAGTTCCCCTGGGTGCTTCAATGAGCTACTAAAAGAGAGATTTCCATAAGAGAACATTCTCTATCAAGAGAGTTTCTCCATAAAAGAGAAATTTCCTCTAAGAGAAACACTGTAGAAAACATCTTTTTAAAGATGTAATTCCGTCAGTGTATTTCTGGATGCAGCTGACACCTCGCTCCCTCAGATGGCCACGAACTCTGCATCAGTTTTTGGGACCGGGCCCATGCTGAAGCAGCTCTGAGTGGATCCCCTCCACCCTGTCCCAAGTATTCATGGTTAGACGATTGATTTGGATTGGTGGGCTCGGAATTTTGCTTACAGCTGCAGTCAGCTCCAGTACCTTTCTTCCCAAAGGTGCAAGAGCAGTTCTGTGCCCGCAAAATGCTTTCACCTTGAGGAACTGTCCAAGACTCCCATCCAAAGCCTGTAAATTCACGTCTTCCATGACGGCAGGAGCTTACAGCGCTGCCAGACATGCCGCCTCCACCCTGCATGCCATGGCCATCCTGCAGGGCCAGACATTGAGAGAGATGCACAAAGTTAGCCCTGACCCAGTACCCATGCAGGAGCTGCAAGTGACAACTGATCTCGCCCTATGGATGACGAAGGTCACAGCACAGGCACTCAGTCAGGCGATGTGGACTGGTGGTCCAATTATGCAATGCCCCCCCCCCGCCCCCCAAACATTGCTGTAGCAGGCAACCCAGGGATGACAGGAGCTGCTCCACTTTCCTTTTCAGAGAAAGAGCAGTTTCTTCATTCACTTGGTCAGAAGAATGCCTCCTCATGCTTGGCTTCCACTGGGCAAGGCCTCGTAACACAGTTCAGCTAGTTGTGAAATTTAGTATAGGGACCCCTAGTGTCACTAAATTGACAAAATATCAAGTGAGTGACAGATAAGGAATGTCTTGGTTACTATTGTAACCTCTGTTCTCTGATAGAGGGAACGAGATGTTGTTCCCTCCTGTCACAACACTGAACAACCCGTTGAAATGACTGGGACACTGTCTTGGCTCCTCAGCACAAACCTAAATGAGTGGAGCACGGCATTACCTTTTATACCCATATGTACAATATGGGTGAGTGGCATGCAAATTCTCTGAACGTGTTTGGGGTTCCCAATCGCCCTAATGTCACTCCATCAGAGAACAGAGGTTACAGTAGTAACCAAGACGTTTGGTTCTAGTGTCTTCAGTGTCACTTGATCCTCCAGAAATCATTCTAATATGGTGATTTGTTTCTAAAGACGTATTTCTTATTATAAACAATGTTGAAGGTTTCCCTTCTACCTTTCATTGCAAAAACACTTAAACGAGTTGTGTTCAACCAAGTCTCAGCCTTTCTCACACAGAACAACCTCCTGGACAGCAACCAATCTGGCTTCAGAAGTGGACATTCGACCGAGACTGCCTTGCTTTCAGTTGTTGAAGCCCTAAGACTGGCAAGAGCGACTTCCAAATCTTCTGTACTTATTTTTCTGGATCTGTCTGCTGCTTTTAATACCAGATTCTCCTGTCAACCCTATTAGAAAATGGCATCTCAGGAACCTTGCACTTATATATTTTTGTTCTTTTGTTAGTTTTGACTGCTTTTATTGTCCTCATTTGTAAGTCGCTTTGGATAAAAGCGTCTGCTAAATGACTAAATGTAAATGAGAATGTTGTGGTGCTGCACAGTGCACTGTATCACAGCTCTGACAGACTCTTTCTCTCGTTCTCAGTATGGTGACGGTAGGGGAGAAGGAGCAGAGGAAGGTGCTGGCAGCCGCTCTATCTGACATCTTGTGTACAGCTGGTGAGGAGCAGACCGCTACCGTCTGCTTGGTCACGTCAGAGCGCTGTTTCATCCCCCACATGGACTACAAACTGGACAACTTCACAGAGAGGGTACATGCAGTTTATGAAAACATGCTAGCATACAGCTTAAAAAATGCTGTAATTATTTAATTTATTTATTTTTTAAATTCTATAGTTGCAGATTTTCACCTTTAAGAAAGAAAGATGATGTATATACAGTATATACTGTATATACAGTATATGTATGCATGTATATGTGTGTGTGGGTGGGTGTATATGTTATTATTATTATTTTTATTAATAATAAACAGCACAACTGTTTTGAACATTGATTATAATAAGAAGGATATCAAGAAGAATATGTTTTAAGCAGCAAATCAGCATATTAATTATTTCTGAGGGATCATGTGACTCTTCTAATTCAGTATTAATATAATAATTCTGCTTTGCCATCACAGGAATAAATTACATGTTTAAATATATTAAAATAGAAAAGAGTTCATTTCAATTGTAATAAAATCTCTCAGTGTTACTGTTTCTACTGTATTTGTGATCAAATAAATGCAAACAAATATTAAAAATGTTACCAACTTTTAAACAGTAGCATATTTAGAAACAAATACATTAATACTTTATTGCACTTACAGATAAACATTATAACATACAGTACATCTCCAGCACCTGAGAAATACCTCAATAGTTTAGTCAGCTTTAGTTCGTAATACAGTCAGTTGATAAAAGAATATGGATCTGCCATATGAACAAAATAGAAAATTATCAGAGAGAATTGAATGAAGTGAGTGATTGAATTAAGCAGTCTCTAAATTTGTAGGATACGGGCAGACTTCGATTGTACCACCACTCATCTTTTGCATTTGAGCTTGGGGAACTTTGTTTGTCGACAGGTAAGGAAGGGTTTTTTGAGAGCTTTTTGTTCATGTGACTTGTTAGTATTTGTGTCAAATTGTCTCTACATCCATTAGGCTTTATTAAACCTGTTGCTGACCGGCCACGCGACTCCTCAAGTCTTCAATGGTACATCACTAAACGATGAGCAACACAAAGCACTCGCCCAGGCTCTCCACGGGGTTCTGACACGCAGTCATGTCGGATATCTGCTCTGGAACAGAGAACAAGTCAACCATGCACAGCTCCCCTTACCAAAAAGTAGTATACTTCAAGTTTATTTTAGTAAGTATACTTAAGTAAAGTTCAAGTATATTTTTAAGTATACTTTATGTAGTAAGTATACAAATATCAGTGTACTAGTAGTATACTTGTAAGTGTACTATTTCAATACTCCTTGGGACTAAATTGGCCCACTTTCTAGTATATAAAAGTATACTTTTAAGT